GTGAGATAGGTCGATCCTCAAAGAAGTTTTCGGGTGGTAAGCGCCGTGGCGGCAGCACTCGATCCTAGTAAACATCCGTCCATGACAACAACAAACAAATCAGGGGGTGACTCCACGCCAAAAACCAGCTTTCGAAGCGTGGGTTCTTAAAATCGCTTCAACGCTTCATGCGTACTGGGATTCGTCACGGATGTTTGTTTTTTTCATCTTCTTACTCCTGTGGCTCGGGGGATAACAGCGTTTCTCCGCATTCAAAAACTGCCCGTGCCCATGCACGTTGCCTGGTTTTTCGTCTTATCCCAACCGATTCCACTATCAAGAATGTGTGTGCCGAGATAATGGCATGAACAACATGCTCTGCCTCCACAGCTACTGTGTGCACGGAGAAAGAATGGCTCGTGAATGCACGCGTTGTCCCAGTCTCTGTGTTTTCTTCCTCGGACGATGCCGCCCTCATTCGCACGACTTTGGTCACCGGCCCCTTCAGTGCTTGCCATCTCAAGCTGTCTGCGCTCGCGCTTGTATGATGAATGAGGATGCAACTGCACATGTAGACTCATTACGTGCGATTTTTGTGGACGTGTCGCGCGTCTTCCAATGTGCATGTGACGGCACTTCGAGCGCGTAATACCGCGGCACTCTTCGTATGAATTTCACCCGTCTATACCCACACGTTTTGCATAGGCAGGAGCCCGCACCCTCTCGCCATTCACCGAGACAGGCGGTGAATACAAGAGCTGTACCGATTGGCATCCCTTTCCAAGGAAAAATCACGCGTCATTCGCCCGACTCAGAGGAAGGCAAGGTAGTCAGCCCCGGTGGAGAGAGGGACCTTGCGAGTACTTCTCAACAGACAGCCTTGTTACACGGCGTAAAGGAGGAGGACAGCAGTTCTATTCACGCGTCTGTGGCTGAAAAAGGAGAAATGAAAGGTAAAGGCAGAGGACGGTGGGACGATGAGGCAGCAAGGAAGGGGAGGATAACGAGCTACATGGATGAAGTGTCTCCCGTGTCGATGCGTGTGAATGCGTGTGTATGTGACATGGGCACCTTTTCATGGCGAAAACATGCCCCATTCCTTGACTCAAAGCTGGGCGGGCCTTTGGCGGTGTCCCGCCTGCATTCTCACTCGTACCCTCCCTCCCT